AAACATTCTCAAAATGTATTTATTTGTTTCCTCTTTTCCACTTTCTCCAGACAGAGTCACAATAAGCCCCAAGGACGTGCAGTGGGTGGGAGCGTGGTGGCTGGGGTACCTGATAGCTGGGGTCATCAGCGTCCTGGCCGGCATCCCCTTCTGGTTCCTGCCCAAGCACCTCCCAAAACCTGAGAGCAGGAAGGACTCCAGCACCTCTTCTGAGCACTCAAAGTTCATTGAGGAGAGCAAGGACCAACACACATCCTATTGGCAACAAGCGAAGCTGGCAGAGATGGCAAAAGGCAAATCACTTGAGTTTTCTTCCTGTTTGTTGAGATTTCCTCTCAAAGGCTTTTAGATTTAAAAGTTTTATGCTAAGTCCCTATTTTAATGGTCTCAGAAATATTTTTTTCCCTCAGGTTTCATTCTCCAACTCAATAGGACACACAAAAGGGTCTCTTCAATGTTCTCTGGACTTGTTATTGCATGAGAATGTCTTTGGCTGAGATTTCTAGAATTACAGTAGTGACCCAGCACATATCATGAAGCTCTGCAAAAGTTTTATTCAAATGTAGTGACTCTTGCAGAAGTGGTGCTCAAAAGAAAACCAACCCTTGGTTTTTGCTATTTTTTTTTCCTGTAAGTTGAAGCTTTAAGAAAACATATCCAATATCTGATCAGAATATAGATAGCCACAGACCAGCTACTGTATTAGAGGAGGCTCTCTGGATTTAGACAAGAACTGGTTTGCACAACTGCATTTCCTTGGCCATGCTTTGCCAAAAGCATTCTCCCTCAGAACTTGAATCTGTACCTCAATAGGTCTGTGCTTACTGTCAGCTGTGCTGAGCATTCTTTGCCCCAAATTAAGGTAAATATTGATGCAGCTGTTGAGAACACATAGAAACCAAATCATTCCTAGTTTATGGTGGAAAGAAGGTATTTAAAACAAGATATTTCTTCTGGGAAATTGATGCTTAGTATTTTGCTCCACTGTACCTCCACCCAGAAATGGGAGAAATGGGGGAGCTGTTAGGAGCATCATGGAACTTCACAGATTCCCTCTGAAATGTTTTGCAGTTTTTGGTTTTTTTGGAAGGTGCACACAGGTTACAAAGCATTGCTCACAGCAGTTATTCTCTCTCTGGCCTGCTGTTTTGTTATTTCTGCTGTTTTGTCTTGCAGAATTCTTGCCATCACTGAAGAACCTCTTTGGGAATCCAGTTTACATTCTGTATTTGTGTGCAAGTATCATTCAGTTCAATTCTTTAATTGGCATGGTGACATATAAGCCAAAGTATATTGAGCAACAGTATGGGCAGACATCTTCAAAAACTAACTTTGTTATAGGTAATGCTACATCTGCTTCTTGATTATATTTACAATGGACATTTTAGGAGTGGCATATACATATAGGAAAAATTGTATGTTTTTTAGGGTATGTTCATTTCTTCTCCTTCCTTGTCTGATTTTAAGTAATGGCTCACAGAAGGTAAGTTATTTCATTTCTGCTTCAGAACTAATTAACTCTGAGTTTATCTATACAAGAGTTGCTGTAAAATTTACATGATTGGATATCTTAATTCCCATGTAACTATAAATTTGAAAAGTAATATATGTACAACACAAGAAAATAACTGAGAAGTAATTTTAAAATGATTTACATAAATTCATCATCAGACAGATCTGCTGCCTTGAATGGCTTCCCATTTGTTTCAACAAAATGAAGATCAGTTCAGTGAGTGCTATAGGTGACTCTGAAGAGTTTGGTGTTAAATAAAAGGAATTCAAGTCAGACCCCAGGCTGTTCCATACAACACAAGAGAGAGAAGCTGCTTCAGCCGTTGGGTACAGAGATCAAAATTTGTGTAGCTGACTTCAGGAGGGTGGGCTTCACTGCCCAGTTGCTGAACCTGCATGTGGGGTTCAGCTCCAGAAGTCCAGGGCTTCAACAGCATTAAGCAGCAAAGAGGTTTACATCTACCCAACACAGAGGGAACTGCCTTGTTTCAGAGCAGCATTAGTTGCACAGCAACAGAGGTATATATATGCAGAAAAGCTGTAATGATCCATTGTGCTATGTTAATTCCATTAAAGATAGAAGCTGGAATTTCCTGGCACGAAACTCCTCAAAGCAAGGAGAAATCTTCAAGTATAGTTGATGGCCAAAGAAAGTCCAGAAAACAATCCCTACATTCAGTATAGTACTTCTCATTGTATTTAAAGATTTTCTGAGCTAAGCTTTGAGGTATGTGCAAACTGAGTGAGGATTAAGAACCATTTGATTTCTCTGCGCATAGGGACTATATCCAACAGAGTGTGTGATGGTTTGGTTAGGGAAGGATCCTGCTGA